TAAGTTTTTCTTACATTTTTTTAATATCTGATTTTATCAGACTCCCACACTGTCTTACGAGTTTTCTGATAAGGCAAGGTGACCTAACTTGGAGCTCCAGACTCTGTAGCTAGCCTTCACCGACCATCCTTCACGACATTTAAACCATCTCCTGCCTGATGGTTTAAATCAGTTACATAAGTAACTACAACCATCAGCTTTAAGGTTCTCAAAAGGGAGGAAGACAAATGAGTCTCCCGGGTCAGATCCCAGGAAAACACGTGTGTTTCCTAAATAAAGGAAAGATGAAGACAACAGAAGGGGCTTTTTTGTAAGTAAGGATTTCAGGGATAAATTTAAAAAAAAAATAATCCCAATTAGACAGTTTGGTTTTTTTTCTCCAGACCTGTATGCTTGAGATAATTTTCCACTCTGATTATTGTTCATCTGAATTCAAATTAAAGCTATTTTTCTAGGGGTAAAATCATTCCATCTTGTCCAAATGTATATCAGATTATTTGAAAACGTAGTTGATAATCTCCACAACGCCCCCATGCCTTGGGGGCCTTGTAACCTGAAGACCTGATTCATCCCACGTGTCCAAGCTGATTCCACCGATTGATACCTATTCTTAAAACAGTGGAAAGGCCTCACTGGCCCTCCTACCTCAGGCCACAGCCCTCTGGAGCTAGCCCCCCCCCCACACACACACACACTGCTGCTGAAGGCTGAGAGCTCACTGCCTTCCCTCCCCAATGAGCCACTGCTAAGCCAGTCCGCCTGCAGGGGTACTGTGGTCAGCATAATTATTTTAATTATTAAACTCAAATACTTCTTAGATGGGGGATGGACTTTCCAAGTAGACAATACCCCTATGACAGCTCATCCTGCTAGATTCTCACAGCCCCGAGACCGTGTGTGTGCACAGGAACTTTCTGTGTAGGTGCATGTGTGTGTATGCATGTGTGTGCTTGTGTGGATGTGTGTATGCATGTGTGTGCACGCCTGTGTGTGTGCCTGTGCATATGTCCCTGAAGACATCCGACAGCACAGAGATGAACAGTCTGTCCACCTAGGCTGAAGACTTAGCGCACACTGCAGGGCAGCCTCGGTTCTCATTTGAAGGACTCTCCCCAGAGACTGCCCTGGATCCGTTGCTTTCTGTAGGGTTTGGCAGGGCACCCAAGCTTTGTGCCCCTCTGCTTCCACTCCAAGGGTTCACAGACTCAGCCCTCTCTGCCCGCCCCCTCCCCCCCCTCTCCTCACAGGATCCTTCTCCTCACAGTGTTCCCAGCAGAATTTCCTCTTTTCCCATTTGTTTTAACTCTGAATTTTTTTCCCCCACTGGGGTCTCAAAGTAACACTAAGACAGGTGCACACCTTCCACTCTAAGCCTGAGGAAGTCAGATCAATAGATTATTGTACACAAAGCCAGAGCACTGGAGGGTGGCAAAGCTGACAGACACTTGGGTCTGTAACTTCAAGACTTCTGGAGGGAAGAGAACCACCTGCCCGCTATGGCCCGAGTTGTCAGACCACGGTTCTGTCCTTTCTGTAATGTCTTGTGAGCTTTCAGAGAAGTTCACAGCCTACCTTGGTAATCACCTGCCTCTTCCCAGACCCCTCCCTCCTCGACCTCACCCTTGCCTTTGAAGAGACTGTCTCTCCCAGACCCCTCCCTCCTCGACCTCACCCTTGCATTTGAAGAGACTGTCTCTCAGGAGCTGTTTTGGTCCTGGGGCCCTGACAATCTTCTGTCCCCTTGTTGGAGATATTCCCTAAGTATACAGATTGTATTCTTAATGTATTAATTGGGGGTAGGCACCCAAAGTGCAATTGATTTCTGAATTTTGACCACTTGGGGATTTCAATAATGATCTCAATTTTTATCACAGATAAAACAAGAAGCAACAAGGCCGTTGGCGACCCTATGTGTATGTTTCTCTGATCTATAATCCCACTATAATTGGGTCTTCTGTGCAATGCCTGCTCTAGGCGAGCTGGCAAAGGGTGGTAAGGAGACACAATCAGACGCAGGAAGACCCTCAAAGGGATGGCTCCGCTGCTTTATGCAAGGTGGCGAAAATTCTGCTAACAAGCCCAAGTTCGTTCATTTAAAAGTGCAAGGGGAATTCTTGGGTCAGATGAAGCACTTCATCCAAAACAGATTTGTAGAAAGATTTAGTGAAAAGCACCAGGGGAAACCCAGACGAAGGCAAACAATCTTAGATGGTGGCCTCTGTCTCCTAAACAACAAAAGGAAATGCAGACTGACTTCCTGGCGTCGTCCTATATGAATCTGACTTTGATGAATGCTTGACCCAACCATCCCCCTGCTCCCCTCCCAAAAACTGTCCGTAAGGTGTGCTTCTTCCAAACTTACGGTTTTGTGTTTTATTATTCTAGCTGGCAACGCAGGACACATCAGTAAGTTCCTCTCTGCATTTTGATCTTCATTGGCTTTGCCTCGCTGGGTAAAATAGTCACAACATTCACAGTCCTGGGATCTTCAACCTCTTCCTGCAAACACTGTCGGTTCCTTCCCTTCTTCCTCCTCTGCCCTTGCTATGCTGGGAACCCCTGTGAGATCCAAAACCTCCTAACTGTAGTTCCAGTGCAAAGGGAGAGGGGCTGGGAACAGACACAGTCCAGTGGAGATAGGGTGGTTCCACTGGCGCTCACGGGAGACCAACGTGGCCGCCTCCTTGGCAACACAGGAGAAGGTTTCTGTGGCACACAATGAGTCCCACCTGCAGACAGAGGGTTCCCCCCCCCCATCAGTGATGGAGTGTGCCCATGAGCCCAGGTCTAAAGAGCAGCCCAGAGACTGTTGTGTGTGACACAGGTCTAGGGAGAAGTGTGGAGAAGTTGTGGAAGACAATTCTAACAACAGATCTGTCAGGAGCCTGCGGGATACAGGATAAGAGATGTGAGTGACTTAGGAAGAAAATAAAAACCTAGCATGGTTGGCCCCAACTGAAGCAGCTTTTCCATCCCTGTGGAGTCTCCACTCAGCAGCAGCAGTAAAGCGACTACCAACACAAAAAGAGAAACTCCCCAACCTTAGTGTGTGACATGTCTGCCCAGGATTCCTGATGTCGCTCAGGACAAGAACAGGTTAACCCTGAAGGAAAAAGGAAAAAGAATGTCAGAGTTGGGGCTTGTGAGTCACACCCCACACAAGGAGTGTGCAGGTCCTAATTCCTTTACCCACAATCCCTACCTAGAACGCCTTCAGTCTGTCTCAAACCTCAGTGACAAACCTGCTCACTCTTGAACAAGGACCAAACTCATCACAAAGATAGGAATCCCATGGTCTCCTTCAGAAGATGAAGTCACAGACTCTAGCTAACCAGTTCCGGCTGGCCAGCTAAAAGGAAGGCAGGGGCTGTGTCCAAGCATGCTGTCCACGAGAGGGTGCTGCCCACTGAAACTTTGCCTATGAACTAATCAACTTCATTTTGTTTCTCTAATATTTTAGCTGGAACCATTGGACCTATAAGTGAGTTCCCTTTTATCTCTCTGTCCTATGGGATCTGGGACCCTACCCTCTCCATACCCCTCCTGTCTCAACTCCCATTCCTAAAGAATTTCCCATACATGTTCCGTGATTGCATTCAAAGTCCATGACACCACCTGACGCCATGACCTAAGACAAAATGCCCTGAAACGTCACTGAGTTTAAGAAAAGGGAAGGTTAAATAGGTTTTACATTTTTGTTTTCTTTTTTTATTATTTTGTTGAGATTTTTGTTTCTATTTATTTCTCAGTTAAGATGGGCACTGAATAACCTGCTCTGATGGGAACTTTTCATGATTCTCTGCTAAATTGCGTGCCGTCTTTGTATTAGCCACCCTCCCTCTGGTTGAGCTGTCTCATGATGTCTTTGGGAAATACTGGTGGCATGTAAATTCTGCACCTGTTAGCCACACTGATGCTCCCTTGTTTAAATTGTAGTGCAATTCTCCGCGCCTATCCGTGAGTATCTGTCTTCCACTCTGGCCCTTCCCATAGCCAGCCTGCAAGGGTGGGGGTGGACCTGCCCCTTTCCCGGGCATCTCATTACAGTTCCCAAAGCGACCATGCGTGAAATGCAAAGACTTCGAATCCCATGTACTAACTGAATTAAAAACAAAACAAAACAAAACAAAAAACCCGCAGTAACGGCCTCTAGGGGGCAGTATAACCATTCTTCAGAAAAGGAAGGTCTACTTAAACTGTAAGTGTAAGTCTCTAAGGAACAAAGGAAAACATAATCACGGCGATCTAATGTGGGGCCTTTCCCGACTGCCTAAGGCTGGCCCGCCACAGCACAGAAAGCTCCACTCTTACAGGTACCGTGTGTTGTACAGTGGGAAGGCTGCCCATGGCTTAGCGAACAAGCCATGCTCGATTTTCACAGACTTTGCATCCATGATAGTTCTGCTAGCATGAAGGCTGAGAGGCAGGTATTCGGGCATTTCCTTCATAAAGTAATGATCTCTCTCTCTCTCTGTCTCTCTGCAGCTGGAGCCACAGGACCTATCAGTAAGTCTCCTGTCCAAATCTCTACTGGGGTGCTCGCTCTTTCTATGCCCGCTTTCCCTGGTACTGTCAAAGGTCTGGAAGTGTCATTTTCTCGGCCTTTTTGGTTTTCCTCCACCTGGCATTTCAGTGAGTCATCTGGGAGTCATGAGCACACACTTCATGGTAGCAGAAAGTGGAGGTTGGGCCCTGGTAAACATCACACACGTGCTTTTAACAACAGCATGAAGGAGGGAGGGCAGTGGAGCGAAAGAAAATGATTCCCGCAGGTTTTCCTAGTCCTCTCCACCCACGTCTCAGGGGAGCCAAGGGGCGAAGGGCTTCTCTCTGCCCGAGCTTGCTCTAGCGCTTCCAGCAAGAGTCAGCTTGCAGCAGCCCAACTCCAGTCCACTCCGTCCCCAGCAGAGAAGGCTTGTAGATCAGAGCCCAATCCAGAGCCCAGATCACCTACTAACTCACCTTATTGTTTCATTCCTTTTTTCTTTCCAGATCTGTCTCAGAAAACCTTCGGTAAGTCACCTCGGTGTCCATTGCATGCTTGGACCCTTGGGATACTTAGGCTAATAGTCTGCCTTGAGGCAATGATCTACACCCACAGATTCAGACACTGAGCACCACCATGTTCCATTGTCCCTCCCAGAGCTCCTATAGATGGTGTTAACTGTGACAGTGGAGCCCACAAGCCCGGGGTTCCCTTCCTGACCCGCTTCTCACGATCCAGCACTTTGGAGTCAGCATGCAATCAAGGTTTCCAACACAGCGCTGAAACCTCTACCCTCCATGCATTCGTTCATCCTGTGAACGATGCAAGCATCAAGTTTCTCTGATGACTTTTCTCTAGTTGGTTCTGTTGTCACCAGCTGCCATGGCAACCATCACCTCCCGATTCATACTTTTCCTCAGAAACAGCATAAGTAATGGCTAGGTGCCAAGATAAAACTCTTCATTGTTTTATATATAGCTTTATAAATTGAGTCCTAGCTACACACAAACTAGAATTTTTACATTGTGTTTTGATCTTACTAACAAAATTAAGATTTTTTTTTAAATGAAGTGCCTCTAGAGTCATGTGATTAACCGAATGAGCCTTCGCTGGCTAACTGAAATGTCTTGTTGCCATTTGTCTTCTTTTGGGGGCGTGGCAATGAGGAATGGCACGGTATCATGTTGTCCTTAAGAAGTGAGGACTCAAATTTTTTTTAATTTATTTTTGTTTCCTATATGTTGGTATTTTGCCTGCACATATGTCTAAGTGAGGGTGTCAGGTTCCCTAGAACCTGTGAGCTGCAGTGAGGGTGCTGGGAATTGAACCCAGGTCCTCTAGAAGAGCAGTCTGTGTTCTTAACTACTGAGCCATCTCTCCAGCCCAAGGACTCAAGTTTTATTGACTCAGTCCTTCTGCTACCATTTTTGGGTGTTACAAAGAGGGTTACAGAACATGCTGAATTCAGGAGAGAACGGGCCTAAAGGAAGAGAAGGCGGAAAAAGGATGAAGATGACAGCCGGAGAGAGGAAAGGGAAGAAGTCAGTGGAGCAGGAGGCGGGAGGCTCAGTGTGCCTGAGAAGGGGCTGGAAAGAAAGGCTGCACACGCTGACGGCGGGGGAAACTGAAGAAAGAGCAGAAACATGAAACGGTCATCTATGCGATGCTGATACTAACTTAGCAAGTACTCTAGGGGTTCTACCCCGAGAGCAAGGGTAAACACGCATGCATGCGTGCATGCACACAATGAAGAGGGGGAGAAACTGCTAAGTTATGTTGCAAAACACCCAAAATTCCAACTTGTCTACTGCTCGTGGCCCGGGGTACCCCGATCTGGAAAGCCAACTTCAGATGAGTCAACCATGGACATCTTTCATCATGAGCACCAGGGCATGAAGCATGGTGGAAAAGAAAGGGGCTGCTGTCCCAACAGGGGTCTTTTGGATGAACTGAGCTGCGCTCATAGGCTTACCGCGGCCCTCTGATGCCACTGACTCGGTGCATCCTCAGCAGAAGCTGTCAGCCAGCAGGACCGCAGCAGCCAAATCCCTTCTTGAGAACTGTCCTTGCTGTGGTCTCCACAAGGCTCAAAAGCTGTCTCGGCTCTGTTCTCTTGGATGTTCCAACAAACAAAGTAGGAGCTGACCTGCCCTGGAAAACCCCGCAGACCCCTCAGAAGCCCTGTGTCCACAGTCTACAGGTATCCTGAAAGGAGCCCAGCCACAACTTCTGAACGAAAATCTGTAGGGTCTCCCTTCTGGACGCATGCTACCCTACAAGGCTCATCCTGCATAAGCAATGCTTGTGGGGGAGGTGACAGATTTCTGGTCCTCAGGTCGCCTCAGCATCATCAACCAAAAGCCAGTTCTCCACTAAAAGCAGAAGGCTCCATTGGCCCTCAGCTCAGACTCTGAAGCTCCTCAAACCAGACAGCCCCCCTGCCTGTGCACCTCTGGTGAGAAAGAAGACTCTTACCATAGTCCTCATGTAGGCAAGCAGTCTCTTCTCCTGGGACTGGCGGGAAGAGCACAGGTCCTTGTTTTCATAGTTAGCAGACTGAGTTTGTTCCCCGTGACCCCAGCATTGCTGCCCCTTCTCCCTGCTCAACCTCCCCTAGGAAAATTCGCCAGCAAAAGTATTCATTCATGCTAACATGCTAATTCTGATTTCTTTCTAGTGCAAACTCCGGGCCCTTTTGGTAAGTTGCCCATAGACACACTGGCTCGCCACTAGTGACTGTCTATGACAAAGGACTTTGGCTCCAGCCGCTCTCTAACCCGTCCTTGGCCTTGCCTTTCCCTCTGCTGTCACCATCCTTCCTAAAGACTTGTCATACATAAGAAAACAGGGCCCCACTGCCCTACAGTCAGCATCAGGCAGCCTAATATTGTTTATGAGCATCACAATGTTAATTAACACTGAAACGACTTTTAAAGCAAGCATAACGGTCAAGAGAGTTGGAGGAAGTGTAGTGATATTTCATTTGTATTTTAATAAACAACGCTGGCCTGAAGTTCAGAGAATAAAACAGCCACCCTAAACAGTCTTACAGACCTGGCAGTGGTGACACACACCTTTAATCCCAGCAGCCACACTAGTTTGCCACAGAAACCGGGTGGTAGTGGTGCACGCCTTTACCCAGTCCTAGAGAGAGGAATATAAAATGGGAGGAGACAGCTCTCACAATCTCATTCTGAGGATTCCGAGAGGCAGGATCACCATTTTGGACTGAGGTCGAAGTAAGAGCCAGTGGCTGGCTGTTTTTCTTTTCTGACCTTCAGGTTGAACCCCAATATCTGTCTCTGGGTTTTTATTAATTGTGGTACAAGAAAAGGTTTAAAAGTAAACATAAGTTCCAAGAGGGTAGCCATAAAAATGAAGCCTGCATGCCTGGCAGGACAGGGGTGGGAATGCAAACCTGAGGAGGCAGCCCTTCCTCCTAGCTAGATCTAGAGGGAGGCTGGGGGCTGGTGCAGGCTGAGCCTGCGGGACCTGCTGATGCTGAGTGCTGGCTTCAGCGCTGCCTGGAAAGGCTGCTCTCCACAGCCTTTGGAGGACAGTTTACCTGCTCCATATCTAACCACAGTCGTTTTTTCTATTTGCAGTGCAACTTGCAGAACAAGGTAAACCTCTCGTTTTCCTCTCTGGTGTCCCTTGCCCTCGCATGTTCTGATGACACGTTCTGCATCTTGGTGGTTTTTGTTGCCATAGGATGATGGCTTGAAGCATGTTGTCATGCTTCCCACTCTGTAGCTGCTAAGAACTCTCTAGGGTCACATATTAAGAGAGGGGCTGCAGAGATGGCTCAGCAGTTAAGAGCAATTGCTGCCCTTGCGGAGGACCCAGGTTCCGTTCCCAGCACCCACATGGAGGCTCACAACTGTAACTCCAGCTCCAGAGGATCTAATACCCTCTGTAGATACCAGGCACATACATAGTATACAGATATATGGGCAAGCAGGACACCCATATACATAAAATAATTTTTTTCAAATAAAAGAGCAAGGAAACCACTAAATGCTATGATGTGCTTCAAAACATGGTATGCTTTATAATATATAGCATATAACACGTCATCTTCCCCGGGCACCAGAGAAAAGGGGCTCAGGAGAGCTGTGCATTCCAGAGGGCCTGCTAGGACACAGTAGCAATAATGTAGAGAAAACAACAAGGGACGAGAACACTGGTCAAGTGAGCCGTAAAGAGGGGAGACTTTACTGTTTAAACAGACTGAGGCTGGTTGGTCTCGGGTGCCGTGGTGTGTACAACCTCATAAAGCATACAAAAGAAATGAAGTCAAACTGTAGAGGAGCAGGGTAGCATCCACAACAGCGTGACCACTGAGACCTACACAACGGGTGTTATTCCCACACGACTCTGGTCCTAAGGAACTTTGGGTAAATGAATAAAAGTCAGTATAGTTGACTTTGGCCACACCCTAACCCTCAGTCAAGGCTACCTCTATCCGGACTCTCAATAACCTTACACCTGCTGTCTTGGAAATTCTCAAAGAGAGAAACTCTTTTCTTGGTGTCCCAAAGTCTCCTAAGAGCCACTATATATCTCCTGCGCATAAATACTTTGGAAATATTATAATGTACACATGAAAATTGTATTACTAGTTTTGCTCCTAGGAGGAATAGCAAGAAAGCCAGAAGCTTTCCTATGAGTTGTAGATGAACAAAAAAAAAAGTTTAGAGAAAGATAACTAAAACTAAAAGAATTCCCACAGGGCAGGGAACCCTGATTGCTCTTTGGGCTGATGAGGGAGGGGGACTTGATTAGGGGAGGGGGAGGGAAAGGGGAGGCAGCGGTGGGGAAGAGACAGAAATCTTTAATAAATAAATAAATAAATGAAAAATAAATAAAAAAAAAGAATTTATAGAAATGAGTGTCTTTAGAAGCCCACAAAAAGGAGTGAGGAAGAAACGCTTTTCAGATGGCTCAGGTGGCCCGGCAGGGAGCAGGTCTGAAGGGACTGCAGGTGACCAGATCATGACATTATGAATCATGACGTCATCTCGAGCTGTTTCGAGAAGTTTCCATCCTAGATGGAAAGAGGGTAAGTGAAGCCTTGCTGATGACTGTCCCTGTTTGCTCTTTTCCAGCCGAAGACCCTTCAGAGCTCTGCAGCAGTGAGTCACATGCTGGTGGGAAGGAAAGACCTTGGAGAGGCTGGACACTTTTGCTCTGCTTCCTTCTGTCTTGTGACTGTAGCAACTGTGCTCCTCCCGTGCTCCTCCCGTGCTCCTCCCGTGCTCCTCCCGTGCTCCTCCTGTGCTCCTCCCGTGCTCCTCCCGTGCTTCTCCGTCTTCCTCCCGTCCTCCTCCCGTCTTCCTCCTGTCCTCCTCCTGTCCTCCTCCTGTGTTCCCCGTGCTCCTCCCATGCTCCTCCCGTGCTCCTCCTGTGCTCCCCGTGCTCCTCCTGTCCTCCTCCTATGCTTCTCCTGTCCTCCCCCTGTGCTCCTGTGCTCCCCTATCCTCCTCCTGTCCTACTCCTGTGCTCCCCATGCTCCTCCTGACATCCTCCTGTGCTTCCCGTGCTCCTCCTGTCCTCTTCCTGTTCTCCCCCTGTCCTCCTCCCATCCTCCTCCTGTGCTCCCCCGTCCTCCTCCCATCCTCCTCCCGTCCTTCTCCTGTGCTCCCCGTGCTCCTCCTGTCCTTCTCCTGTTCTCCTCCTGTCCTCCTCCCATGCTCCTCCCGTCCTCCTCCATCCTCCTCCCATCCTCCTTCCGTCCTCCTCCTGTGCTCCCCCTGTGCTGCCCCTCTGCTCCTCCTGTATTTCCCTTGTTCTCCCCCTATTCCTCTTCCTTTCCACCATCAAGCTGGTGTCCCCAGGAAGTGATGAACATGGTGCCACGCTGTATCCCTTGTACTGGAGAGCTAGAGGAGATGATAATCCAGGGTTCAAGATCACCCTTAGCAATCCCAGTGCCAGTATGGCTACATGAGAGCTTGTCAAAAAAAATTAGAGAAAACCCCCAAATATCATAGCAACTTGCCAATGAGAGCGGGAGGGAGGCTGGATAAGTAAGTCAAGGTTTGCACCAAAGTCGGGGAGAGGGTGAGAGGAGCAGGGTTAGAAATGACTCCAACCTGAGGAGCAGGCAGGCGGCGGTCCCGTGGAGGGGAGGAGACGAGAGTGTGCTGGCCTGTCTCTGCTGAGGACCCCGTCACCAGACTTCCCACCTAACTTCTGCCTTTGTTTTTCAGCTGCCGGATCCAACTGTAAGTCTGGCTGCCTCCTTTCGTGATGGACCCCGATGTCTCCAGGGACGTCGAAAAACTCTTGAGCCAAAATGTCCCCATCCATGTTAGGACCCAACAGTTTAAAGCTCCCATTCCTTGAGCCCTTATGACTCTACTAGGATAGTAACAAGCTTCTAAGATGTTCCTTGACTTACTTAAGAGTTGAAGGTCAAAGGAAAAAAGTTTCCCTGTGGTTCTAAAGATTCTGAATTTGGAACTTATGCAGAAGGAAGAATGAACAAATGAAAAATAATACATATTCCTGTCTTCCAGCTGGGCCATCTCTACAAGTGATCAGTGTGTTGTTTGACCCTGCTGGGCCTTCTCAGAGTCCTACAGTACCTATCACATCTGATGTCCTAACAAAGGGACTGAAAAGTCCCGTTTTCTGAGCCTTCTGCTTTTCCATTGCCTGGAATTCCACAAAGTGGTCACCAGTTCTCTGAAAATTTTAAATGCCTTTATTGTAGTCTGCAGCAAGGAAGAAATAAGAAATAAGGCTGGTGGCTCGGATCTGTGAGGGCGCAGGTCTGTGAGGCCAGCTACTACAGAGCTAGAGGCCTGCCTGCTTTGCAGCCAATCTGGACCACAGGCTAAGAGAAGAGCATGCCTGGGCAAACTAACATGACCTTGTCTCAAAATAAAAAGCAAAAATGCAAAAGAAGGGGGCTAGGAGTGGGAAGAGAAGGGGCCAGGAATATCGAGGAATATAGGTTGGTGTGAGGCCCTAGGTTCAATCCCTAATGTGGGAAGGATGGGGGAGAAAACCAGGAACAAGCAGGAAGTAGTGGGGCTGGTCTGGTGCCGTCTGTAACCGGGAGTCACAGTTCTAACCTGGTCATAGTGAGACCCTGTCTCAAAGTCACTGTTTTTAAAGGAAGAAAGCAAAGTGTTCAACTTCTCTGCTTGCTTTTCAGGTGCAATACAGACTCAAGCGATGTGTAAGTCTATATTCATCCGCCTCCCCCAGCACCCCCATGCTGGTCCAACAGTCTTTATCTGGCCACTGTGGGATTCACTATCAAAATCTGCCTGGTTATTAGTAATAGCCTCTAAAATCTGAAGTTGACTGATATACAAACATATGAAAGGAAAAATGTACAGGGTCCTACAGTTTTACGTAATCACCAATAAAAGATTGGTTATAGAAATGAATAACTGACAGAGAAAGAGAAACAAGGTACTTAAAAAAACGCTGTGATGAGGGTGTCCCAACCTCCTGGGTCTGCCTTCCACATTTGATACCACAGCATCTAACCATTTCCCTGGCTGTGCATCTTCGCGCTTAGAAGCTGCTGTTTCCGTGTTGCACCCACTTTTAATATATATATATGTTTAAAATTATATATATATATATAAAGTATAAATATATATATATGTGAACCTGAGTTCAATGCATGAAACCCTCAGGGAGAAGCAGAGAATCAACTTCAGAAGTTGACCCCTGACCTCCACATGTGTGTGTCCACACACCCTACACCCACACACACGCACACACACATACAAAATGAATACTCTTTTAAAGTGTAAAAATAAAACAAAATAAAAACGAATGGGAAAAAATAAAAAGCAGGTAATTTTCTGTTTTTTTGTTTGTTTTTTCTTACCAGGTGGACCACCTCCATGTGTCATCAGTAAGTCCAGCACGGGAGCCCCAAGCTCTCCTCTCTTTGACTCCTAAGGTCTCTGTGTTTAGGGGACATATATATACTTTTTAAATACTTTTATGGGAAAAAAATCCCAAGAATCGACTTATATAAAATAATAGTGGGAAAACTTCTCAACAACTTAAAATATGATGGCTCAGGGTCAAAGGACTTGTCCCGCAAGCCTGACACCTGAGTTCAATGCATGAAACCCTCAGGGAGAAACAGAGAACCAACTTCAGAAGTTGACCCCTGACCTCCACATGTGTGTGTCCACACACCCTACACCCACACACACGCACACACACATACAAAATGAATACTCTTTTAAAGTGTAAAAATAAAACAAAATAAAAACGAATGGGAAAAAATAAAAAGCAGGTAATTTTCTGTTTTTTTGTTTGTTTTTTCTTACCAGGTGGACCACCTCCATGTGTCATCAGTAAGTCCAGCACGGGAGCCCCAAGCTCTCCTCTCTTTGACTCCTAAGGTCTCTGTGTTTAGGGGACATATATATACTTTTTAAATACTTTTATGGGAAAAAAATCCAAGAATCGACTTATATAAAATAATAGTGGGAAAACTTCTCAACAACTTAAAATATGATGGCTCAGGGTCAAAGGACTTGTCCCGCAAGCCTGACACCTGAGTTCAATGCATGAAACCCTCAGGGAGAAACAGAGAACCAACTTCAGAAGTTGACCCCTGACCTCCACATGTGTGTGTCCACACACCCTACACCCACACACACGCACACACACATACAAAATGAATACTCTTTTAAAGTGTAAAAATAAAACAAAATAAAAACGAATGGGAAAAAATAAAAAGCAGGTAATTTTCTGTTTTTATGTTTGTTTTTTCTTACCAGGTGGACCACCTCCATGTGACAACAGTAAGTCCAGCATGGGAGCCCCAAGCTCTCCTCTCTTTGACTCCTAAGGTCTCTGGGTTTAGGGGACATATGACTTTAACTACCTGCCTTCTTGTATCAGAAGCCTTGACATCATGGAGTCCCTTCAGAAAGCGCGGGTCTGCTAAGGCATGGGGACCAGGTGGGACCAAAGGGTGCTTAATCTCCCATCAAGACAGAGCTCTAAACAGAGACAAACCTGTGCGGCACAGAAGCACTGAGCTCCTTCTCTGTCTTACAGGTGGTCGTTCCTCATCAGTTCCGAACTGTGAGTTCTACCTGGTTTCCTTCTGTTGTCCAATGTTGTTATTGTGTGCCCAGCCCATTTCTGCCCTGTGTGCAGACACCTGAGATGTGTGACCCCCAGTTCCCTTTGCCTTTGTCTTCCAGCCCAACCTGGCCCCAAGGCTGTATCCACGCCCCCCTCCCGTTCGAACTAACGTCTTTTCAGTTGCACCGTCTCATTGAATTCCTATGATAGTGAAGTGGATAGGAAACTGAGGCCAACTCTTTACCCGAGAATATCATCATCGGACCTAATTCAAGACTAGCGCTGTACCCTGCTAAGCTGCCCACATCACAGATGTGCCTCTCACAGCTCTTCTTACTTTTCAGGCCCGTCTGCAACACCCATAAGTGAGTACCGTTTGATTTGATTCTCTTCTCTGCCGAGACTCTCCCTCTTGTTCTTTCCGGTCCAGCTTTCCTGCACCAAACATAACTGCAGAACAGGATACAAAGAAGTAAAGAGCTAGCATGGGTCTGCAAAGATCAATCTAAAATCGCTACGAAGTAGCAGACATAGGCAGAGGTTTTTCTAGCAAGAGAATATTGGTGTAGGCAGGAATACAATGTCCCCTGGTCTCAGGCAAGTCTGTAACCCAAAGCCGCTAAATCCAGTTATGAGGGGACCTGAAGGCATTCTGCCCTGACCTCTGCACCACTACTTAATCTCGCATCTAAATTTGAGCTAATCTGCATGGAGTTGTTTTGAATGCATCCTTGCTCTTTAGCTGAGTAATCCCCTCGCAGACATCATCAAATTAGATGTCTGCGAACATTAGAGAGTTCTCTGTTGGTTCTAGTTAAGAAAAATAAATGGATTTCTCTCTCTTTCTCTCTCTCTCTAGTAATTTCACAGAGAACCACAAGTAAGTTCTTTACTTTTCTGCTGGGGTATGTGGGGGTTTTCAAGGCTTAGCTGATTTCACCTCTAAATACTAGAAGCTGAGATTGCTGTTTCTCACATCCAGTTGCTTTCGCGTTTCACAAGGTCCTGAGGCAGCCAGCAGGGGTCCCAGATACAGACTTCCCCCTCCTTCTGTTAGCAACACACACCTTCAGATACCAGATGCTATCTGAGACTATACTGAACACCAATCAAATTTTGTTTGTTTTGGTTTTGGTTTTTGTTGTTTGTTTGTTTGTTTGTTTCTGGCTCTCAAGACAGGGTTTCTCGGTGTAGCTTTGGAGCCTGTCCTGGAACTCACTTTGTAGAGAAGGCTGGCCTTGAACTCACAGGCAGCCTTTGCCTCCAGGAGTGCTAGAGCTAAAGGCATGTGCTACCACCACCCAACTTGCAGACGGAATGTTGATGGTGACCGCAGAATTCAAGGGCTATCTCTTGAGTCTGTTGCAACATCCCCACGGGTTCCTCATGCTGAGCTTAAAATGCTGAGTTCTTGTCAAGGTTAAAAACTCAGAATGCTCAAGGGGGACCATAAGTGAGTGTGCCCAGAAGACCTGAGCTGCGGGAAGTGGGATCTGGAGGCTGCAGGGTCTAAAGAGGCTGCTCCTCCCAACCTATCGATTCATGGAAAAAGAAAGAAAAAGAAAGAAAGAAAGAAAGAAAGAAAGAAAGAAAGAAAGAAAGAAAGAAAGAAAGAAAAATGCAGATAGAGAGTTGACAAAGCAGATGACTTAATCCACATTTGGGGTGAAAATGTCCCCATCTATAACCATGCTTGTGTCTGGACCCGTCTGGTAGACTGCAGACCTCTGCTCCCACACAAGCGGGCCCCAGTCCTTCCTGCTGGTAGAATGTAGTGGTTTCAGTGTTAGGGCCAAGGGGCTGCTTTGATGGATTGGAATAGATGCTATTGCTAGAACATGTTAGTGCCCCTCTGAAGTCCCCACCCACATGTATTCCTCGACAGACAGACAGATCAGCCAATTTCCACTGCACGATGAACATAGCATCATGACCCAGGACCAAGAACAAAGCTGGAAACTCCAAATGTCCTAGATTAGGTATCAGTCGCTGCTGTTGTGACAGAAAGCATCTTCAGGAAGAAGGCTTTGTTGTGGCTTGGGATTTAAGGGTAGTTTAGCATGCTGGGAAAGGATTAAGTATAGTCAGATGCTCTAGGAAAGGATTTAAGGGTATCTGGACATGCCGGGAAAGAAAGGCAAGGCAGCAGGGTGTGGGGCAGCCGGTCGCGTCTGCAGTCAGGAAGCAGAGATAAATGCTGGTGACAGCGCACTTCCTCCTCTCTTTATTCAGTCCCAAGACCTAGCCCATGGCAGGTGCCATGCACATTCAGGAGCGGTCTTCCCTCCCCTAAACATCCTGCGGGCTGGAGAGCTGCCTCTCTTTTGTTGAAAGACAGTGTTGTTACTACTGCAGCAGACCAGAGTTTGGGTCCCAGCACTCACATCTGGTGGCTCAATACCACTGAAACTCCAGTTCCAAGAGATCCAAAGCCACTGGCCCCCCAAAACACCTACACTCCTGTGCACACACCCACACCCTGACATATAATTTAGGGAGAAAAAAGCTACCTGGAAACACTCTCCTAGATACACCCAGAAGTGTGTCTCCTGCCTGATTCTAAATCAATCAAGTTGATAAAGAAGAGAACCATCACAGACCCACATACAGCTGGGAACAGGAACACACACAGGTCACTTGAAGTAAGCAGAAGGTCTGGCCACTGGAAATGAAAAGCTGGAATCCAAACTGAACAAATAATACTCTTTTTGGTGGAGGCTCCAGGGACACTAGGCAGAGAAGGCACGCAAAAGCCTGGACATGGGGTTTGTGATGGCATAAAGGCACCTGGGAACTACGCCGTCTTCCTCTTCACAGCGCGGTCTCGTCTGGCTTTAAGCACAAACACGAGGCATGCGCTGGTTTACAGGATGAGAACAAACCTAGGAGGAAACTGAAGAGGACTGAGACAAGACATTACTTATTCTCAAGTGTGTCAGAGTTAGCAGGCGTGGCAGACACAGATGAGACACGCTGCAGGATATATATGTAATATCTATTGGTCTGCTCTGCCCAGGCGTGGTCCTACACACTGGTGACTCCACGTCTCCTCACTCAAGATTATATTTTGAGATTTTAAAATGTAGTGGAGGCTGCAGAATGGTCTCAGTGGTTAAGAGCACTGACTGCTCTTGCATATGACCTGAGTTCCTGTCCCGGCACCCACATGATGGCTCACAATCTTTCATGACTCCAGTCCAGGGGATCCCACACCCTCTTCTGCCTAAAGATCTTCTTCCTGTGGATACAGACAGTGTTCGTCTGAATCCAAAGATTCGGAGCAAAACGCAGCGAGGAATAAATCTGAGTTAATTAGCAAACAGATAATACGTGAGCCACTGGGGCAGTCAAGCAGAGTGGCTCACGCCTACAATCCTACCACTCAGGAGACGGGAACTGTCTATGAGGACGACAACGATGATATAAAGGACAGGAGGACAGTGAGGAGCAGCCCACACGGAAAGAGTAAGAAGCAGACTGGAGTCAACTGGATCATCCGAGGTGTACTCAATGATGCAGAGCCAAGGACCGTGGTGAAGACAGCCCGTTTTAGACACAAAAGGAAGATGTAGGCGCAGACATGGAGTGAGTGGATGGACAGTAGCAGAAGGGGCCAAGGGTCCCACAGAACCACCTTCCAGAGCTGGAGAGAATATGACTTAGAGTTTGCAAAGTGGAAGTCGTTGCTGACTTGGACAGGACAGGGGTCTCCCTGGAGAAGCCGGAGCCAGGGACTTTCTGATGGGAAGGCAGAGATGCAGGACAGGGTGTGTGGTAGACCACAGCTTTTTCTCAAAACAAATGCCTCCTAAGTGTGATAAAAGTTTTCATACAGGCGGTGACCATCGGTGCTTGCGCCATTAGCTTGAATGTGGGATTTTTTTTTTTATTTCTCAAATCAATAAGAGACCAAAGCAATCACACCCCAAGAAGGCAGTCCTGGAAAAACTGGGTACCTGCAGAAGATCCAACCTTCTGTGTTTCTCAGACAGAGGAGGGGGCAACTAGCAATGAGAACAACCCTCTGTGCTTTCTTCTGTCCCTAGTGAGATCTGAAGGCATCCCACTTCCAGAACTGAAGCCCTTTGCAGCCACGGGTGCAGTTCTCGGAAGAGGAGAAACCCAGAGGCTCAAAGAGCCTGGAATTCACAAGACACATGTTTCTAGCCCACAGCAACGCTGTCATGGAGCCTGAGACAGTGTAAGCTCAGACTCACATCTAAGAACACCGCTGCTTTGCCATCTATGAACAAAAACGTGTGCCCACACTCAGGGAAATGGCATTCACATTTAACCAGGTGGCTCAGAGGCAAGGCAGACACTTGCTGCCAAGCCTGATGATCTGAATTCCATCCTGGGACTCACATGGTGGAAGGAAAGAACCAATTCCCACGGACTGTCCTCTGATGCCCACAAGTGAGCATCAAATGACAAATGACCATGGAGGGTCAAGAAGGCAGCTCAGCTCAACACAGCTTGGGATATGGGACATTAACTAAGTGATCCAGAGACCAAATGAACCCGCTGAACCTCCCCCTCTTAGTCAGTTTGCAAGACTCATCTAGCAGTCAGACATGTGCACAGATAAGTCTGTCTCATCGGAAACTATACTAACGTTTTTGTCTTTTTCATTAAAGCAAGACCTGGACCACCTGTAATACGTAAGTCCTGTGTTTTCCTCAATTGTATTTTATTAACTTCCTGTGGGCGAGTCCCCATGTCAACCCTGTGAATGCACCAAGACCCAACATTTCTATTTCTGACTCTCTGCCTTACTGGCTTTTTAGAATCCCTAGTTTCCCAATTCCCCACTCCTGTTCCCAGCAGCTGGCTTCATTCTCAACTCTCCGTAGCCATTTGGAGGTCAGAACTGAAGATGCTTAGTACCTGGTGTGGTACTATGATAGCTATTTATTAGGTACTTAGCTTGTGCCAAGCAGTGAACTCAGTACTTAATATATGAATATACATTGTATCACATAAGTCATTTCCTAACATACATATACATTGTATCACATAAGTCATTTCCTAACATACATATACATTGTATCACATAAGTCATTTCCTAACGTACACAGGAGGAATTCCAAGCTAACATATCTACTACCATCATCACTCAGACTAGGTCTCCTTAGCTGACTCTCTGAGAAACAATGGACCCTCAACCCCACCCCTGTGAAATATTTATGCTTATGGAAGAAGAGGAGAGAGCTCACGAAAATGAACCTAAGAACAGCTGAGCTGTAATAAAAATATCACAGTTGAACACAGTCTTTCCAAAGAGGGGTAAGGAAAGGATAGGGATGTAAAATTCTTAGCAGTGAGTTTTCAAACTTCTGTCTGGGGAGACTGGGGAGAAATCGGGGGGGGATGGCCTTTTCCAAAGACACTCGTCTCTCCAAAAGGCGCCTCAGTTCAGAGCCGCCAGTGCACTTGAAGGGCGCTGACACAAGCCCTCACAGGCCTTCTCTAGAACTTGTCGCAGCGTTTAAGAAGTAGCTGTGTTCTTCATCCAGAAACTTGTGGTCATTTATCTATCTGTTTCTTTTCACAGTGAGACAAGACCCAAGTAAGTGCCACGTCTGCCCGCCCATCCTGGGTTGGTTCCTACACCCGCTGTCTCTCTGACTCCAGACCTTCAGTCTCTCTTGTTTCAATCACACAGCTTCCTCTAAAGTCACCGGTAACTGAAAACCCTACCACTAACAAGTCAGACCATGAGCTGCCTGAAGGCACCTTGAAGTCAGATCTACTCCTTTTGAATATTTTTAGTTGGGTTATTTTGTTCTTATTTGCAATGACAAGATAATGTTGGCACTGACGGGCTACTAAGTATCCTCTGTCGTGTGACTGACAGGCTACTAAGTGTCCTCTGTCGTGTGACTGACGGGCTACTAAGTATCCTCTGTCGTGTGACTGATGGGCTACTAAGTATCCTCTGTCGTGTGACTGACGGGCTACTAAGTGTCCTCTGTCGTGTGGCTGACGGGCTACTAAGTGTCCTCTGTCGTGTGACTGCGATGTGCTGCCAGCGCATCCAGCACCTTCCTCTCCAGCAGCATCCTTTCTTGTTCCCTGCACAGCTGCTAGCCTTTGTTGGAAGCTGCTGCCCCCTACTGCAGGGCGCCAGTATGTCTTCCTGCTGCTTCGGACAGCTTTCACAAATTGTCCCCTGTGGGAAATGTCACCCGCTGCTTTTCTTGTTAGAGTTAATAGATAATTGGGGTTTTAAAACAAAAAGAAAGTAAGAGAAGTCAAATTGAATTAGCAAATTAAGTCAACTGAGATGTTACTCATTTATAAAAAAATAAAAAATAGTGGAGGACCAGGGGAAGGACAATAGGGCCAAGATAGAAAAAAAAAGCTCATTCCTCCAGAGTTCACTCATGCATTTGAACACTTATGACATGTTTCATGTCCAAGGAGGTTGAGAGAAAAGCTCCTTCTTCTGAGCACTAACAAATCCTCTTAGAACTTGGTGTGTCTCTGCCCTCACTGGAGAGCACCCGTGTGCACCGTGCTCTCTCTGCTGGCTTTACCGACTACAGCGACTCTGAGAAAGCTCCCCTTTGATAAGTATGGCCCCTGCTCAGGGCAGGCGTGTCTGTCTCCGTGTTAGGGTAGATTACATAGTCTCCTGAGTACCAGGATCTCTTAGGGAACAGTGGACAAGGAGAAACATGAACATGACGGTATATTCCTGGTAAGTAGAATGTCTTGCTAGAGTCAAACAAGTTTTACACACTTAGGAAGACTCACACTCCTACAAGATGTCCTCAGACCCCCATGTGCACGCCACGACACATAAGTGCTCAGAGAGGGGGAATAAAGCAAAAGAGGACTCCCGTGTGACGCCAAAGGTCACGGCTGTTGTTGTTACCTCCAGCAGCAGCACTAGGGTGCTCCCGATTGCACGGGGAGCTCTGCCCCTGTTGACTAAATGGAGTGAAACTGGCAAATACAAGCTAGAGCTGGGTAAGCATCTCCTGAGTTCACTGTCCAGACTCTTCCACAAATAACAGAGGTGAGGAGGATAGGGGAAGCAGAAAAAGTCCCGAGAGAGCAACAAAACTGGGGGCAAAAGCCCGAGAAACGGAGTTTGCCCAGCCTGTGCAGAGGAACCGGATAACAAAATGACTCGGCTCCTTTTCACCCTTCCAAATGAATGTGTTAGTGTAGGAAAAATATACGGCAGCCTCTCGTTGTGAAGGACGGGGAGGGTCTCTTCTCAGCCCAGATCCCTGTCTGGACAGACCTCATCGTTAGACTTCTGCTGGTGCCGTTGACAGTGTCAGCCTACACAAACGGTCTGTGTTTGGATTTAGCCCGTGTAGCAGTGCCTATCTGCAAGTGCATTTTCTTTTCATCCATCTCATAGAATTAGGGATGCCCACAGTGGAGAGAATGCTGTCCTGGCCGATCTCTGTTCAGTGGGATGCTTCTATTTATGACTACCCCAAGCATGCCCTCTTAGTGAGCAATCTGTTATTGCAAGGCTAACACTCGACTGAAAGATTCAGAAAAAAAAAAAAATCCCCTGAACAACCTGCCAACAGCTTTGCTTCTCCTGTTTTTGTAATTTATTTATTTATTTTATGAGCATTGGCATTTTGCCTGTGCATACGTCACACCCTCTGGAATTAGAGCTACAGATAGTTGTGAGATGCCATGTGGGTGCTGAGAAAGGGCCCCCTGATAGAGCAGCCAGTGCTCTTAACCACTGAGCCATCTCTCCAGCTCGCCAATGGCTTTCCATAAGAAATAAAAATTTCCCTGCTTCTAGCAAGAAGAAAAGCTATGGAGGATGCTGCGCCAGGTACAGAGATAGCCCGGAGGAGCCCACAGCACATAGGCTGAGGGAGGGTAAGGAGGGGAGTGAGTGCAGCCAGCATCAGCTTGCTGACTGCTCTGCATTAACCTTCCTACTAGAAGGGAAGAAAAGGGAGCCCTACAGGGGACGTGCAGCCAATCAGACCAGTCCCCCTCATTAGAATATGCCCCACCTCTTATCATAGGTAGCTCTGGGGGAGGTCTGACACCAGCAGAAGCACTAGCAATGGTTAACTCTTGGCGAACAAAACAAGGAAAGAGACTAGAGCTTGTTCCAAATATTCTGCTAATACATTTTTGTTTCATGTTGTCCTGCCAGTTACTCCCGTGATTTTTGGTAAGTTATTTATCCATCTACTTCTACATTTCAGTATCGTTTAGAGCCTTTCCTAGATGGACAGGATTTTGGATTCATGTTTACCAAGCCCCCTCCATCCCTGTTGTCCTGGAGAATGTTGTGTCTAATACGCAGTGACTGGCCAGCAGGGCGCCAATGGAATGAAGACGACGGATGGACATTAGGCCCTCCATGGCGCGGGTCACTTCATGCAGAGAGAACTTTAGGACTGATTAGTGCTGACGCTATTCTGGTAGAAATCCTGCTTTCACACATGACTAGTCCTTCAGAATACAAGCGGGCCAGTGTGCTATGAGGTCCAGGAGGGTCCAGGGGCCTGCATTTTGGGAGTGACCCTAAATATGGGCGCTGTCTCTCCAGGGCCTCTTTACTATAATTCCTAGTGGAGAATTTTCAAGAGAAATCCTTCACCACGGAACTCAGAATCTGCCGCTCCCACGTTTCCTAGGAAACGTTTGTCCCACAGCACAGTCTTAGCTTTTCACGTGACATGGTCAAGTGACAATCCCACCACTCCACTAGCAGGGGAGCCGGTGCCTTCTGTTCCCTGCCACACTTTACACACTGTGGCGTGGCACCTGAGACCTGGAGTGGTTAGTCCTCCAGTGTGCAGTCGTGTGCTCTCTAGGTAGACATGACCTACTGCAAGCACTTTGTGGTTGTGAGAGAATTGGGGTTTTAATCAAATGATAAAACCCTGCTAGCATTAAAGACAAATTTTGTTTAGGACACTAGGAGGAGCTATGGCCCCAGCCCGGGTGCCATTCTCCCGCAAATCCACCCACCTTCCCCTCTATATCCTCCCTAACCCACAAAGAGCACTTTTATCAAATGACGGTATTTCAACTTGTCCCTAAATGCCCTGTGAGCGACGAGCAAGCCGGCATTGCTCATGACCACCACACACCCTCAGCTGAAGATCAGTTCAGAACTGGTTCTAGCTGCCCTCAGTTCTTAGGAAGCTGTGGAGTTACTGACTTTTCCTCAGTCAAGGCATGAGCTTATCACAAAACCCAGAGCAATCTTAAAGACGACTCATGCAGTTTTGAAATAAAGATAAACTATACTAGGCAATGGGAGCCTTGAAGGGCATGACGGAAGGTAAAGAACAGAATAAACACCAGTGGCATGACTCCGCGGAGAAAGGCGCTTGCCGCTGAGCCAGCAACCCAAGTTCAAGCCCTAGATCCTAAGTGGTGGGAAGTTTTTAGAAGGCCCAGAGACTCCAAGAAGTCCCCCCCACGACACACACACACACACACACACAGGCACACACACACAGAGACACACACACCTATTTAGAAATCTTTAAATATAAAGAAATATGCTTTATTTCTTAATCCCAAAATACCTAGAGTATTTCTTCAATCACAGCTCTTCCCAAACCAGCTTTAGAATTCTCATTAAACCCCAGAGACTGTCAAAAATAGAAACTGTAACCAAAGTTTAGAGACAAGTTTACAGTATGGAGAGCATGTTGATGGGCTCCTGAGTATAAATAGAACGAGGCCATGAAGAAGGGGCTCATGGTAGGACCCTGCCAGTCTCCTCAAAGTCATGACACTTTGCTTTGGCTAAGAATCTTTTTTTTTTTCATTTTGTGAAGGAAAAAAAATGCCCATTACTCCTAAAACTGGTCCCACGGGCCATGAAGATGATGAGGGTTTCTAAGTCATTGCCAGGGGTTCAGATTGGCTATGAGAAGGCAGCATATTCTTGGGGGAGAGAATTGTCTAAGTCTTTCCTCTAGTGTTACAAGTGGGGTCTGGACGGGAACTGAGTGCATAATTTATTTTAAAACCAATCTTTTTTTTTCTTTTCCTTTTAAGTGTTTGCACCGATAGGCTCGGGTAAGTCCAGGTCTTGCCCCTCAAACTTCCTCCGTGTGGGTAGCATCCTTGGCCTCTGCTTGCACTGGCACTTTTGACCTCTGACCGCCGAACTCATGGACATAAATAATTCTCCATCCCTTTTCCTCCTCGTTTTCTAGTGTAAGTTTAAATCATTTTATCTGTCTGCCTGCCCTGACCATGTGTCTCTCCCATCACTCCGCCTTCAGTATTTTCTGAGACACAGTCTTGAAATTAAGCCAGTGGAAAACCCCTACACTAGCCTAAGGATCTCCCATTTCAAATCAAAACTAAAAAATGATTAAGGTTAGTGAAGACAGGGCATACAACCTTTTATGTCAAAGAGCTGAGCTGCATAGGAAACAGAAGTGTCCCACATTTAACCCAGTGGGACTCAGACAGCAATGACATGGATTCCATCCAATGTAGGGGCTTGGAGGTCAGGAAGGAGGGAGGAAACGCACTGACTGATGATGTGTTTGCCTTTATGTCTTTCAGTGGACAGTTCGGGAAAATTCAGTAAGTGTGTATCACTTCCCTGTTCCTGGGATTAACACCCTTGAGTTTATGTTGCAAAATCTTGTTGAAATGGAAACCCTTCCATCTGAAGGAGTCATTCTGCCTTAAGTGGTTCCTCCTTATTTCAGTTTGGATCCTTCTTGTCTATTTTCCTTTTGTAGTAATATACAGCGTTTTGTCTTGGATTCAGTTACTAATAGAAGAGCCACCACAGTCCAGGGATTCTCCACCTTAGGGTCACGACCCCTTTAGCAAACCTCTATCTCCCAAAACCATTTACATTACAGTTCTAATAGTAGCAAAATTACAGTTATGAAGTAGCAATGAAAATAATCTTATGGTTGGGGGTTGCCACAACATGAAGAACTGTGTTAAAGGGTTGCAGCTTTAGGACGGTGAGAACCACTGGTATAGTCTGCCATAATGGGACTGGCTTCCTCTGTGCTGTGCTATCAAACTGCTTTCACTTAAGACGTTAAGATGAGAAATACCCTGGTGTTGACAAAACGTGCACATCAAGACATGATGATGCTCGTGACTGTCAGTCAGGAAAATGGGATTTAAAGGGACTTGTGGGAGAGTAAGGGAAGGCAGGGGATGCATTCACTTAGACCCAGGGAGGACCGACATCACTAGCCTGAGGATGTGGGACAGGGTGGTCGTCTCTGTGGCCAAGAATGCTCTGCTTTTCAGAAGGCTAGGATTCCGTTCCCAGCACCCATGCCAGGTGGCTCCCAGCTGCCTGCAGTTCCACCTGGCCGCCTAGAGCATCCCAGCACGAGGCACACGCTTTCACAGACTAAACACACAAACAAAAGCACAATTTCCTAGAGAAAGGCTGCTGGAAGGGGGGTTCTTTGGGGTTTGGAGCCGACCACTGATGTGTCTTCTGTGTTTTGTCTTCTAGCACTTCCTCCTATGGGTAAGTTCCTCAAGCATTCTCAACTCAGATATCTGACGTAGCTTCTCACACTTTCTACATGCCCAGAACTGAGGCACCTCAAATGCTCCTCTTATTCAAAATCTCCTAAGGCTCCCAGT